GCCCGGACCTGCTCGGCACGGCCGCAGGACGGACCCGGGCAGGGCTGCACACGCTGCCCGCCGTGCTGGGTGCCTGGGCCCGCTCGGCACGGCCGCAGGATGGACCCGGGCAGGGCTGCACGCGCTGCCCGCTGTGCTGGGCGCCCGGACCTGCTCGGCATGGCCGCAGGATGGACCTGGGCAGGGCTGCACACGCTGCCCGCCGTGCTGGGTGCCTGGGCCTGCTCGGCACGGCCGCAGGACGGACCCAGGCAGGGCTGCACACGCTGCCCGCCGTGCTGGGTGCCCGGACCTGCTCGGCATGGCCGCAGGATGGACCTGGGCAGGGCTGCACGCACTGCCCGCCGTGCCGGGTGCCTGGGCCCGCTCGGCATGGCCGCAGGATGGACCCGGGCAGGGCTGCACGCACTGCCCGCCGTGCCGGGTGCCTGGGCCCGCTCGGAACAGCCGCAGGACTGACCCAGGCAGGGCTGCATGCGCTGCCCGCCGTGCCGGGTGCCTGGGCCCGCTCGGCACGGCCGCAGGACGGACCYGGACGCGCTCCCGGCTGCGGGCGCTGGGGCCCGGGCTGCAGCGAGCTGAGCTGACGGGGCTGGTGCCTCGCGCTCCACGGGGCACGGCTGTGCACAAGCCTCGCCTCCAGGGATCGCACGCTTTTCTGGCCACTCGTTCCTCCTGGGATCTCTTTCATGTTGGTTTTGATTCAGATAGTGCACGGAGGTGGCCTTGGTGCAGAGACCAGGCGCCCCTCCATCAGAAAGCACCAGTAGCTGCGGGGTTGGGCTTTGTGGGAGAGCTSGAGGAGCAGGGGTGCCACCAAACACCTCTGTTCTGGCTCTTCTCTCCTTTTTAGAAGGTCAGGACCCCTTTGGCAAGGGCAGAATTGTCTGCATTTTTGGCATTTTTTCTATGCTGTTTTCATATAGGAATCTTCTTGACCCTTCTAATCTGCAAGTTTGTTGACTTTTGTCTAGAAAAGTCGCTGACTTGTTACTCTTAAGGATAGGGCATGTGCTGTAATGACTCAAAGAAAAGTATTGAGATTACCAGGACAGAAGAGCTCCATCCCATTCCCTCCAGCATCTGTCGGCTCCCCCCTTCTCCACACATACTGTTTTGTTCACCTCTGTGCTGGGCAACCTGGCCCTTTGTAAGGAATGCTGTTTTCTCACTTTGAGAACTGCCTGGTGCAGCATAACTGCTGCTGGAATAATGTAAGTGGACAAGTACTTGGAGGAGATGTAAGTGCCCAGGGTCTTTGCTGCGACGGGTGGCGAAACTCTCGGCGGAGAGAGCCGGGGCGCGAGCGGCCGCCGGTGTCTGGGCTGTGCCGTGCCTGCCGGGGCAGCCGGGTTGGGCCGGCCCCGCTCCTCCGGGAGCCCCCGCCGGGGAAGCCCCCGTGGAAGCAGCCCTGGCAGGGTCCCCAGGCACGGAGACTGAATCTTGCCATTGCAAAAGGGCTTGGGAGAGAAAAGCGTAAGGCTGCCGGGGGCTGTTAGCTCTGTTTCTGTAGCACGCTCTTCAAACTTAATTTTGGTGGTGTTTGAGCTTAACAAAGCCCTGTCAAACAGGATTAAAGGAAGGCACGCGCCGGGTAGCGGAGTCGCGTGGCGGAGCGCGGAGGCGCCCGGCCGGCCGCGAGCCTGCTCAGAGGCGCCTGCTGAGCGCCCCGCCAGCGCCCTGGATTGGAAACGGGGGGCTTTGTCCTCTGCCTCTTTGCAAACCCTTGACGCTTCCAATCCACACAAGAATATCACGAATATTTTACCTTCTGTTTGAAGAGATTGCTGCATAGTCTAAGGTAGAATACGTTTCTATGGAGTATGCACTGAATGAACTGGATTTCGAAGGATTGCTTGACGTTACAAATGGCCTTGTTCAGCAAATTGCCTTTTATTGCCATTATTCTGTTATAGTTTTGTTACTGTTAYTTTATTACTGTTATCTTGGTTCTGTTTACCATTGTTTACTTCACTTTGGCAGGTAAGACTGGTTGCCTTTGCTGGGTGTCTTGGGGCTGTCCCCCAGCAGGCTGGGTGGGCGCCCCAGGAGGCTTCCCCTTCCAAACCAACCTCGGGAGCACTCCTGCTGCCAAGRCTGAGTGCTCATTCACCATTTAGAGCTTGGGAACTGGTGATCTTGAAGGTCAATTACTGAATAAACCTTAAACTGGCCTTCTTTTTCCTTAACAGGAGGAGTCTCGGATCCTCAGGGTGAAGGTGGTTTCTGGCATCGATCTAGCCAAAAAAGACATCTTYGGAGCCAGGTAGGTGGTTTGTGTTGAGCATTTCATACCTTTAAACGCAATCTGCTTAGAAGACAAGGACACTATAATTGGTCATAAACATAATGAGAGCTGCTATTGCATGATTACAACCAGTGCAAATCATGGGATGTTTGTTGGCAGGAAAGCCGTTAATGACACTAGGGACTGTTGGTGCTTCTGGAATATGCCCCGCTCCACCCAGAGAACATCTCCTTGGGTCATCCTGTGCCTTGGCTGTCACGTGTAAGGAAGCGCTCAGCCTTGGGCAGGGTTTGATAACTGAAGTTCCTTCCCTCCCCAAATGACCCCCATTCCATGCAAGAGTGACCGACAGCTCCCTCTCGGTGAGACGGCTCCCCACTCTGCTGCTTCTCAGCAGCAGCCGGGGGGTCCGGCCAGGCTGCCGAGGTCTTTGGGCTTGGGCATGCCTGGATGCCACCGCGCACTTCTGAGCCGGCTGCATTTCAGATAGACAGGCAATAAGAACATTTTATCGTTATTTAGCTTGTGCCACAAGAAGTCTGGTGCAGGAAAGGATTTGGCGTGAGTTGTGCTTTCTTGCTCTGGCTGTGGCAAGCCCAAGCTGTGGTCTTGGTTGAGCCTTGAAATCACTGGTGTGTTAAACTGAGACCCGGGGGGAAAGGAGCCTTCCGGAGAGGCCGGGGCAGTGTGCCCGCGCGCGCATCGAGGCATGGGGTGTGCACACCACGGCCGGCACCGCGCTTGGYGCCAGGAGAACCCCTGCCAAACGGGAAAACTGGTTTTAGGTGGTCAAGTGGAAACACATAGACATAGTCGCTCTGTTTGTTCTCCCAAGTCTTTTGTTTTGAAGGAGTTAGTCATGGGTGTAAAGTGAACATATTAAAAAAGGAGGTGGAAGAACTTTCCTCCAAGCCTAGGCTTGTTGTGTAAATAGTGAATTAAAGCATCGCATCCTTTGAAGGTGAAGTGAGGGAAACACTGGTTCTGAGCTCCAAACTGATGCAGAAAACATCCTTTTTCTCCCAMGGCTAATTCCAGGTTTGACTTTCTCTGCCGATCATAGCTCTAAGTTTGAGGAGATTCTTTACCAAAAATGACCCAAGTTATGCAGAAGTATCACGTTGAAGATAGTGGCAGCTAGTTTGGCTCTTACTGAAATGACTCTAACTTCTGAGTTTATAAATGAGATTACCTTGTTTAATTTAAATAGTGCTTGCAAATTGTCCTTTAGCCTGCCTTTCTAGCTTAAAACTACATGCAAGCAGCAGTTAAAAGTTTTTAATCAATTTTAACTGTTTTCCTGTAATTTGCCACAAAGGTTCCCTGGTAGCTGTGTGCAGGATATGGTGGGACAAAGCTCCCTCCTTTCCTTCCCCAGAATTCGCTGTGGAGAAGGCTGGCTCTTGATGCTGCCGCAGGCACCGAAAGAAGCGGCTCTCGCAGAGGCGCCYGAGCGCTGGCCGGGCCGCCCGTGCCCGCGCGGTGCCTGCGTGGTGTGCGTGGCAGTGCGATGCCCGCATGGTACCCGCGCGGTGCCCGCGTGCCGGCCGCGCCGTGGCACCGCTGCCCGCTGTGGCACTGCGCCGCAGCACCGACATAGCCACAGGAGCAAATCCTGAGGCAACAGGGACTAGCGCAGAGAAAACAAGGCTTTTATCAAGAACGCCAACCATGGCATTGCCCAGTTTGGGTGCTAGCTTTGCCTTTTCTAGATCTCGTTTAATTTGGCCCTTATGCACTACTATGGKTTTTTGTAGCTGACGTACTTATTTGGATGGATTTGTATCCATTTGACCCTTCAAAGGGTTGTGGTATCTCCTTCAGCCATACTTTTCATGGATCTCTTGTAAATATTTAAGAAATCATATTCAAAAGAACTCCTGAAATTTGTTTCAAAATTTATAAATAGAAGTTAAAAAGAAAACAGAAAACTGCTGTCTTTCAAAATTCACACAGTGAGTGAATTTTGAGGCTAGTTCCGGTGATGTTCCAACAGAGAGCGACAAAGATGATCCAGGGAWTGGAACATCTCTTGTATGAGGAGACTGATGAGTCGGGCCTGTTCAGCTTGGAGAASAGAAGGCTGAGAGRGGATATGGTTAACATGTATAAGTTCATGAAGGGAAGAAGGGGCAAAGCTCTTCTTATTGGTGGCCAGCAATAGGACACGGGGAAATGGCCATAAACTGAAACACAGGAGGTTCCATCTCCAGGTGAGGAGGAGCTTCTTTACTGTGAGGGTGACAGAGCAGTGGAACAGGCTGCCCAGAGGGGTTGTGGAGTCTCCTTCTCTGGAGGTCTTCAAAACCCGCCTGGATGCCACCCTGTGCCACATGCTCTAGGTGTCCCCGCTTGAGCGGGAAGGTTGGATCACCTCTAGATGATCTCTAGAGGTCCCTTCCAACCTTGAATATTCTGTGATTCTGTGATGTGTTTCTTAAATATTTAAGTAAAGCAGCCTCAAGTCCGCAGGACTACCGTGAACACTGCAGAGCTAAAAACATAGGCTGGGACTATGTTTTCAGCCGCGCTGTGGCGGTGGCGTGCTCGGGCGCGAGGGCGGTGCAGAGCGGCGCAGCACRTGCTCGGGCACGAGAGCAGCCCAGAGCAGTGCAGTGCGTGCTCGGGTGTGAGGCAGTGCAGTGCAGAGCGGTGCAGCGTGTGCCCGTGCTGTGCTGCCCTGCTCCAGGAAGGGGCTGCCCTCGGTGCGGCTTCCCCTGCTTGTTTTGGGGCCTTGCGTACCAGCCTGCTGGGGTGTCCCCATTTCACGCTGCTTGAATGTCGGGCTGTCTTGAGTCATCCCCAAAAGCATCATCCTGGCGTAGCTGCCAAGTCTGTGCTCTGTGGTATTCGCCTGCTGGCAATTTTGTTGGGAATTGATATGGAAGAGCTGATTAGATTTGGACTAGATTAATAGATTTTGCTTTGGGGCTAGAAGGAGCGTGTAATGTTGGAACTAAGCCTGAGGGTGAGGAAAATGATAGGGTTACAAAGCAAAAAAAAAAACAAATTTACCATCCTGCTCAGGTTCCCTAGGCGCCAGCAGTCGTCTGTGGGCTGCATTCTCTGGGTGCGGGCGCAGGGCTCGGTGCCCGGCCCCGAGGGGGTAGCAGCTTCTCCCGGTGTCCCCAGGGCTCCCCTGGTGTCCCCGGGGTACCCGCTGGGGGAAGCYGCGTGGACGGGCACCCGTGGTGGCACGTGCGAGTAGACATGTGGTGGTACTGCGGCCGAGGGCCCATCCTCAGTAACGCTGCTTTGGGGAGAGAGGCAGTCGAATGACTCTGCAAGCCGTTTAACACTTGCTCCTAGCTGCATAAATGTCTGTTGTAAAATGTTCAGYGAAGCCTTTGGCCAGAGGTCGGATCGCGGTGGCACCGGCCTCTTGCTGGGCTCTGTGGCCCCGGTCTTGCAGSTAGTGAGAAGGTTTCTGTGCAGCCAGGTGAGCTACAAAGCGGGCTTTGTCTTGTAGATCAACATGGGCTTTTCTTACAGCATTTAATTAAATCTAGTATCAAAACCACCACTTACAGACTTGTGGAGGCTGAAAGCCACCTTTGCCTGAAGACACCTGTAGGAAACTCCTGCCAATTCAGAGCGCTAGGGAACCAGGGCTTTTCTCCTCAAGGTGGCAACAAGAAAGATACTTAGTGCTTTTTATTCTGTGTTTTCTTTTTGGTTTTGTTTTAATTTTTTGGCTTTGCTGGTGACTGTGGCATACGCSGGGTCAGCAATGCCTGGGACCGTGGTCAGGGTGACCCCAGGGCGGTGYGGCGCGAAGCCAAGCGGTGCCGCCCTGGGGGGGCAGTTGAATGTGGGTCGCTCCGGCTGCAGCTGCCCTGCGCTCGGGGCTCCTGGCGCGTTGGCCCTTGCGCTGTCGCGCRGCAGCACGAGGCTCTGCGGTGGCACCGGCGCCGTGCCGGGGTGCTGGTGATCCCGCTCGGGGCCGGCGCGGCCCGGCGCAACCTGCCTCCTGGCCACCGACCCTACCGCGCTGCACCGCAAGCCTTGGCGCTTTGCTTTGTTTTCCTGCTATTCCACAGCCAAGCTTCCTCAAGTGCTGCRACTCACTAAATCCAGCTGCTGGAGGTACTTATATTCCTGTATGCAATTAAGCAATGCAAATTGTAATGCAATTTGTCTCAACTATGCAGTGCTCCAAACACGTGGCTGTAACTTATTGCTGTTGRGCTCTCTGTGAGCTACACGGTGCTCCAAAGGGCACGTTGGCCCCTTTCCCTGCGTGTCAGTGCAAGGTGCAGAACACAGCCCTGCACTGCTCCAGCCCGCTCGTTTCCCTGCGATGTGCAGGGCGCAGCCGCRTTCCGACATGTGCCCGTTTCCCTGTGATCAGAGTTGATGTTGCAGCAATTCGCTTCATTTGCTGGGCCCCTCTGCTGCGGAGCTGCCTTCCTGAAGGGGATGCCGGGGGACTTGGGGCTTTGATCGTTTTGYGTGACTCAGTTACAGGAATAGAATGCCCTTATTTATAGGTAAACTCTTTTATCTGGAGATGAGCTTTTACTGTGGATTTATGGAGGCTTGGCGGGGCGGGAGCAGAGCCTCGTACTGCCCCTGCGGGCTCTCACAGTGAGTGGTGGAGCTGGTGGCGTCACTGTCACTCAAGTGAGTTACCCCATGTGCTTCGCTCTTGTGCAGCAGTGGTTTTGCACCATTTCGTCAAAATGCAAGGTGAAAAGGGGATCTCACAAGCCCCATAAAGCGTGGGGTGTAATAACCTGTTTTCATTCCTAATCCACTGACACGGGCCAGGGCATTGGGGGCCGTGGCAGTGCATGGCAGGCAGGCAGGCAGTGCCCGATGCTTGCGCACACACACACGTGCTCAGTGCCAGCTTCAGGGCGCTCGCTGCTGCCCACCCGTCCTGCCGCTGCCCTCACCCTTGCAGCCAGCGCTCCCCAGGCTGCTGGGAAACTCGTGGATCCGTTTCRAGAGCACGGGCCCATCTGAGCTGAACGTGTGGAAACCTCGCTGTGTTGCAGGGCTTCAGCAGGAACACC